ATTTGTATTGGAATCACTGAACAAAAATCCATATGACATTCTAATGTCCTAATAGAGGAAGTTTTAACTGTAGGCGAATACTGTGTTATAAAGTTATAATTGCTTGACCACTGTGTGGTAAGTTATAACCTATAAATGCTATGAATGATCGCAGGGGTTAAAAAGAAGCATTTCCATTCGTAATGCAAATGAAAATAAGTTGCCACCCTACAAATGTGCACCGTGAAGAGAGAATAAAACCAGCTTAGTCATTCTACAGTTCGTCTTTCCCATAAAGAAATGATTTTCAGATTTGTACTCAGTGCTGCAGGTTGTAAGTGGCCCTATGTCTGTGATGGATGGAAAATAAAAAAAACTAGACGTTGATCTGGATGAGTCACATGATACGGTTACACTTTGAAATCTGGTCATAAGATTCACATTCCATCATCACCCACTCCTGCTCTAAAGCTGCCAAACAAACCGTGAAGAAACTGCAAACATTACAACCAGGAAATGTGAGCTCCTGTCCAGGATACGTCTCCCTGTGCTGCCATCAGTGAGAATTTAAACAAACATGTGAGTCAGTCGACAATTCATTAGAGGCAATTAATCCGGAGCTGCTGTCATTGTTTACCTGACATTCATTAAATGATTGTAACAGATGTTGTTGGGTAACAATTCATTAACCCATGGTCAGAGTCATGTGGGAGGCAGTGAACACATTTCACACTGCCTCAGAAGGTATCAGCTGATGCATATTGTGAAATATCTTAATTTATTTCAAAATGTTTTTCTTGTTTACTGCCACCACAAGCTCCCCTCACCTCACACTGCATTGTGTGTCTGTGTTGACCCTGTGGTTAACCTTGTTGGTTAGCAACCACTCGCACCGGAAAGTTGAAAAACTCATAATCTAAGTCACGTGGATGGAAACAACGAGAGATGTCTCAAGTGGACACATTTCCCTTGTGCTTTAAAAAAAAAACATATGAGCTGATGTACACCGGGATATGTGGTATTTCAAAATGTATGTCTTGTTTCCCGTGAAGGCGGCGTTGTGTTGACTTTGAGACGAGCGAGCTCACCCAGAAGATGAAGTTGAAAAAGAAGAGCAGGAACTTCACACACTTCATTCCCCCCTCTACGCCCATGGCTGACGAGGATCGAGTTCCTGGGAGGAGGAGGAGGAGGAGGAGGAGGAGGAGAAAGCAAACACATGTACACTTGCATTGACCTGCACACAAACATCAGCTGTGATGTGAGACACAGGACTGACATGTTGATTCCCTTCATACTGGATGTTGTGTGTGCAAATGAATTCCACTCCTTGGTGTCAATAAAGTTGTCTGAACCTGAACTAAATGTGAGGCCTTGAGCCATGAAGAGGACGAGGTGTGACTCACTTCCCCTCGTTTTTATTCTTTCTTCCATGTGAGCATGATGTGATGTTATTTCTATTATTTGACAGTTTCACAGCAAAAAAAACAAAAAAAAAACAGGCAGACGATAAAAGCTTTGCATTGGAGAGCAAACGGGACAAACTCACAAGTAAAACTTTTCATCACAGTCAACATGGAGGAGTAAAAAGAACCACAGCTCTGAGGAGGACAGAAGGGAGGGAGGAGGAGGAGGAGGGGGCGGGGGACCGAGCCAGATCTCCCCGGCCCTGCCCCGGGACCGTTAGCGACAATACCCGCTTTGTCGACCGGGGCTAAACTCCATTAACCACTTCCTCCTCCTCTGATTGAATTCATTACGGAGTTAAAATGGTGCGAGGCGAACACAAACAGCGGGAGCTGGAGCTCTTCCTTTTTTTATTTCTTAATGACGACGTCGTTTGTTTAAAAAGTGCGCAACTCGTTCTGCGCCAAGAAAACAAAAACCCACCGCCGGAAATAAAACCACGAGAAGGAGCTTCAGCGTGGAGGGATGCGTTTGAGTGCTTCAGTCCTACCTTCGTGAGGAGAGAGATATCCTGTGGCGAGGAGCAGGAGACGACGAAGTGTTGATGTTAGTCAGTAGGTATAGTTTATAGCCCGTCCTCCTCCTCCTCCTGCTCCTCCTCCTCCTCCTCTTCTTTCTCCTCCTCCACAACTTTTCTCTCTTTGACCATAACTTTGTATGGTGCATTCAGGGTCTCCTCGTTAAACGCAACACTCAAAAATACCTCCCACTGCTCCCAGTTGAACTACACTCAACCCTGGTTCAACTCTGGTTTTACTCTATAAACCTATGTATGACTCCTGTTGCTGTAATATTGCAGATTTACCCCATTGTGGAGACTGATAAAGGATTATCTTAGCTTGCCTTATCTTATCTTATTTTAAAAAGTGACTCCTTTATATTTTAAACCTCTGCCCAGCATCTGCACATGCGGAGCAGAGCCCTCATGCGTCCCTGAGATTCATGACAAGTTGTAGAGCTCTGACTCATCACTGTGAGATCAGGGCCTGCTCCCTGTCAAGTCAAGTAAAGTCTACTTTATTGGTTTTCATCCACATCCACAGTTTACGGCTTTCTCACAGGCCAAAGTGCAAAAAGAGAGAACAGTGCAGCAGAAAACACAATATAAAACACACAACCATTTCTTTAGTTGTCTTGTTGTTACGCCATCACACCAGCTTCTCACTTCTGCTCTGTACAATGTCTTGTCATCGCTGCTGATGAGTCCCTTTGTGTCTGCATTGTGCAAAAATGTGTCAGGCATCACTGTCTGCGTTCTCAAAATGTTCTTAATGCATTTAAAACCAGAATGAGAGAACTGGAGGCAGATTCTTTAAGATGCTGCTGTTTTTTACTGACCTGGTTCTGTAGCTGGATCCTTGAAATGTCCTCTGGACTGTTTTTTGGTTCTTTGGATCTTGTTTTTCGTTTCTGCCTTACACTGCTGCCTGTCTTTTCAGGTTTCCCTTGAAAAAACACATTCTTAATAATTCCAGAGGAGACCTCAGATTTTTGCAGCGAGACTCAACAGTTTTCACAACGACCAACTGGCAGCGACAGAGACAAAACTAAAAGTACCACACTGCAAGTGTGTGCCTCCGTCAACCAGTTCAGTTTCCGTCTACATACATTTTTTTCTTAATAGATTCATATACGTTGACCTTTGACATTTGCCCTTTAACCTTTGCCCACCAAATTCTAATCGGTTCATCTGTAGATCTAACATGTGTGCCAAATTTGAGAGAATTCCCTTGAGGCGTTCGTAAGCTGTCGCATTCACAGAGGGATTGGATTAAAGTAGTTGTGTGTTTAATGTATAAGTTTAACTTTACTGAATTAAATTAAAGAGAGATGAAATAGAAATACTACGGAGCAATGAATTACCAACTGGACAAAGGAGTTCAACATAAATAGTATGTTGTTAATAAAGATGGACGACACGTCTTCAGTCCTCCCATTGTACAAATATGAGGCTGAAGTATTCCAAATATTGATGCAGCCTCCATGTGCTTTTGACGTCATTTGGAGCCAGAGTGTGCGCAGTGGAGTGAAGTGCACATTGGGTGAGAGAAGGGTTACACCCTGGACAAGTCGCCAGCTCATCACAGGACCAAACAGAGTTGATCTTTTGAATGCGGAAAAGGCGATTGACTCCTTTTCCATTACTGGTAGGGGAGTTTGAGTTTGAGGGTTTTTCCTCCGTGAGGCACTCTCTCGACTCACTGTCTTATCAAATTAGTACATTCACGCTTGTGTCATGTTTCCATCACCGATAAAACATTTAACACTGTGAGTTGGACAGTCCCAATATGGTCTGATTATTTACACAGCAGAAGAAAATCATTTGTTGAGCAGCGACACAACATAAAGAAGACAGGAGAGGATCTAAATTACTGTGTAAAGAAAAGAAGACTGCATTGCCCAGGATTTTAGATAAAATCAGGTAGATCCAAAACTACCAGTAATAATAAAGGATGAAAACCTGTTAATAACCTAGAATGTTGTTATAACAGACCTAATTAATGACTCTGACTGTCTCCACCTATTCCCTGTCACATTCTCCCATTTAGAGTTTATGTTTATTCAGATTCTGTCACATTTTGAGAAGATGAAACATCATGTCAATGTTTATAAGAAACCCAGTTCCTGTTTGCTCTTTTACGTGCCGATGAGTAACATCCTCTGATCATGAGATAACTGTTGAACCTTGAGCAAGGTTTTCAAAGAACTCAAGTGATGACAGCTCAACTTCTCCTTAAAAAGGAGGAACCACATGAAGTGAGGAGACGGCTGAATCCAGATCATCAAGCTCTTGCTTTAAGAAATCTTTCAGACGTATCGCAAACATCACGAGAGTCCAGTGTGTTTTATTTCATGGCCACAGATGATTGAAGTGTAAGACTGATCTTAGTGAACTGGGCGCTCAAAGTTCTGGTCATGTGGTGACAGTCACAAGCCTCGCTGAATGCTTTGGAAGAATTCCGGAGTGAAAGGTCACATTTTTATGGAGGAAGCATTTTGTTCCATTTACAATCAATGACATCAGTTTAGAAACAAAAAGAGGAAAGGTTATAGGTTAATAATATTTAGGTGGAAGTTGGTTTGACACAAATGAAGTATTTCCTTGTACTCCTCGATGTAAGTACTCAGTGTGGACGTCTGACTCACGCTGCATGTTTTCTGACATTGCTACTGTTAAGGTGAATAAAGTGGAGCGAATCACCGACCTCAGCTGGTCTCGCTCACTCTCTGTGTAACAAGCGTATCAAAAACAAACACCTGTGTGACCCACATCTCTCAGCAGACCTCAAGCCACCAATAACATCAGCATATCAATAAAGGTGGTTGATAAAGAACTAAGATTTGAATTTGAATCATTTATGAGAACGTATGAGTGCTGTGTTTGGTGGTTACATATCCCGAAGCCTTTTATCAGCTTTTAATTAACGTTTATTAACTCCTATTTGTTTATTTTATTATCAGGTTAGTTCAGAAATAAAACACTACTTGACAAATCAATCTCTTGCAATCAAATTGTACACAGATTACACTGTTCTTGATACAAACAATCTAAATAAACAGTCGTGTCTTTGGATCTGATCTTTGTACAATCAGATACGTTTTATTTATTTATGTCATCTTTCATGTAAATGTTTTTCACAGCAGACATTTAGGCTCCTGTTACCAAGAGCAGCAGAGAAGTGACTTTTAACACTTACAATAGACCATCTTCTGTCTCATAGCCTTTGTGCAAATATTTATACACACCTTGTGTCCCTGTATAAATACTTTGGTTTCAAGGTGAATGACATTTTGTCTTTTGAGCAAAACAAACTAGGCTTAAAACAGGTAGTTATTTTTAGAGGCAGGTCCTGTTTCACTTGTGGAACTATAAAGATGTCCGTAACTGTCCTCTAAACTAAGCGACATATAGTTTCTCTGTCAGTTCACTTTTTCTTTCTGTGCTTAAAAAAGTGTGTAAGATTCAGGTGAAAGGGAACTATTGTCAGAAATTTGATGTAGAATAATCCTCATGATGTTTTCACTCCTTCGTTTCATCTAAACTGTATTGATTGTAGTTTTCTTTAGCCCAGAAAAGACCCTTTATATTCAAATACTTTATATTTACATCGAGGGGGTCCTCTCTACGGAGGCTGCCATGTTTTTTACTTTAGTCCAGACTGGAGAAACTAAACACCTCTCGAGTTTTTATGACAACTGAAGCTGGCACAGGTTCTTTTTCATGTTTGGAAGGAGAGGGTGAGGTGAGGGGTGTTCAGCTGCAACATGCAACTTCAATACTAGATATCACAAAATTCTACACACTCTACCTTTAATTCCTATACTCACACCGTGAAGCACAAATCCACTGCCTATCCTTTATTTAGAAGAGAGGCCTCGTATTTACTTACTCCACCAATGTCAAACTACATGTTATCTCGTCAGCACCAAAGGTAAACAGTTTGATAAAATAGTTTGTATTTGTCCTGCACTGAGCACCAAAGACAGACAAATCCTATTGCAATCACGTTTGACATTTGATTGATCTGTATTGGAAAACTCCAGTGGCGTTATTCATTTAAAGGACACTATGTGTTTAGCTACACTCTATTTCAAAATCACTATTATTTTATTGTCCTGTAGCGGTTAAATCCCAAGACATTCAAACAGTAAAAATATCAGTCGGCAACAGTAACTGACATCAATTGTTTTAGTCCTTTCCAGAAATGTAACTCACGTGTGCTATAAATAATGAAAACGTCCCATCACCACTGACGAGTAGCAGAATTCAGTAACTTCACTTTGTGACTTTTTACAGCGCACGTGTTGTCAAATTGATGCAGATGCTTTCTTAATTAGTTTTTTCTATTTGCATGTGTTTTTTTTTTATTTGCATATGTGTTGAGCTCTCTCGGCCACCGTAGACATTAACTCTGTGCACAAGATAAATAACTAAATATAATTTCTTGACCAGAATGTGACCAGCGAATCTACACACTTGTTTTTTAAAACATATATTGAAAAGGTAATTAAATTGAAAAGTTCTCTCCACTGAGCGTGGTGATGTAAAATCCAACACGCAAACACGTCGCGACGTTGAACGCGCACCGCTGATGACGACATCCAGCGTCGTGTGTGTGTGATTGGCTGCGCGGTGCGTCACTCTGCGCGGAGAGGCGGAAGAGGCGGGTCGTGGGGCTCTCATCATGGCGGGACACATGAAAATGACAAACGGCTCCGGCTCGACCCGCGGGACGTTCCTGGTTCTCGTGGCGCTGCTCCTCGGTTTCCCTCCGGACTCGCACCAGGACTCAGGTGAGAGGCTGCGTCACGACGCCTCAACACAGGCTGCGGCTCGAAGGAGGTGCCCTGGAAACGAGTGTCGCTCAGGCTAACTCGTGTTAGCTTGTGTTTGTTGTTGCTGTAACCGAACATCTCCTCGGAACTCTGTATTTGGACTCTGATGTGTCCTGGCTCGCGCGTCCTCGTTGTCTCTGTGCAGACTGGAAACTTGGTGGAGTTTAAATACTAGTTTTATTTTGTTGTTTTGCCGAAACCTGCAAAAAAAAAAACCTGGTCACCGTGTTACCCTTCACGAATTAACCACTCACCATTTCTACAACAACACCGGGTGAGACACTACAAGATGAAATCACTGCCGGTTCTGTAACTGTGTTTAAAAAGGGAAGTTTATTTCAGTGGAATCCAAAGAAAACAAGATGAAACTCTTGACTTCTACTTGTTCTGTAAAAGAAAAGTGAGCGAGAGGAAGAACTTGTTGTGTTACCTGCTCCTCTCATATAAATAATACAACATTAATACACATCCCCCCTTTTTTATTTACATTTCATTAAGCATATAAAAAGTCTTTCAACACATATTCATCATCCTCATTTTGTAGAATATAATGAAGTGTGTTGTATTACTTTGTCCCCTCCATTCAAATCAATGAGGCTGATTCACCTCAATACAAATCACAGTGATCTGGAGATGTCAATCCATAATACATTAGATTTCAGGTTAAGTCTCGCGAATATGGATTTTTAGGGGGTCTACGTGGATGTATATATAGTAGTAAGTAAAAATATAATGACTGAAATATCATTTGAATCCTAAGATAATGACAGATTAAAAAACCTTTTCATATAAAATGAAAACATATGTGCCTTTTTCATTTCTTTATTGCTTATTCTGTAAATAAAATGTAAAGTTTAAATAGCAGGGGCATACAGTCAAGAAAGTTTTTCGACGGGAGCTGGTGGGAATGAGGCTGAGTGTCATGGACGGGGGAGGAGGTCATAAAGTATTGAGACAATTTAAGACAAAGGGCGTCATCATCTAACAACAGGATCAGTGCTTGTAACAGTTGGACTGCAAAATATTGCAAAATAACTCGAAGTTAGTTTATAATGTCATCAAGACCTCGTGTTCAATGTTCAGTTCTTTTAATCATAAATATTTGAATTTAAACTTCATGTCTTTCAGCTTAACATGTAAGTAACATGTGACATAGACTTAGTGTAACATATATATAACGTACATATCTCTGCTGATCAAACCCAGGTAATGAAAGTCCAGTAATTGATCTGCATGATGGAGAAGAGTACATCCTGTCGGGGTCCAATCGGTTCTGTTACCAAAACTCCATCGTGCCCACCTGGCGGCAAACATGGACCAGAATTCAGGTAAGTGGTTTGAGTGGAGCGCAGCCAACAACAGCTGTTTATCATCGCTCCTTGTCTCTGCGTTAAACGTTTCAGCAACAGAGGAATTATTGGTAATAGTGGTTATATGTGACTGAACTTTCCTCTGGCAGTTCCTTTACGTTGAAACGCAGTTGTTTTAGTTCTGTTATAACTAAAGATGTCCGACAGGTCAAAGTGTGGAGCTCCAACGTGTTCAAGTTGGTAATCGTGGAAGGTGAGGAGGAGCTGCAGGAGTTGGAGCGCTTCAGTGTCTGGAGCTGGTTTCAGAGCTTGTTACGTGAGCGGCACAATGAAACCACCATTAACATCGGCCTATTCAGCAAGAAGACGTGCTTCAAGATCGACCCCAGTGCAAAAGCCAAGTACACTGTCAAGCCCCTGCGCAGTAAGATGGACACTAATTCGTTTTCTGATCTCTGACAAATATAACAAGACTGATATTCTGATATATGACGTGTTTGTTTTTTCTCTGCAGAGTTTGATATCTATCTGTTTTTGGTTTTCCTCTCTGGGGCGTTGCTGTTGATCTTTGCAGATTCACTCAGCAGGTAATTTATACTTAACCTTCAATATTAGGGTCGTCAGAGCATTATTATTACGTTATTAACGTTTTTTTTCTCCTAATGTGAAGGAGTCAAGTTTTCTTCTACTCTGCTGGTATGAGCACAGGCATGATCGCCTCTCTCATCATCCTCTTCTTCATTCTGGCTCGCTTTTTGCCAAAGGTACAGTTTGTCATTGTCCTCAAATAGCTGTGATTTTTGGGTTAAAAAAACACTTTGGCCACTTAATTATCTTAATGAGTTTGTGTTTGCTTCCACAGAAAAGCCCTTTTTATTTGTTGATTGTCGGTGGCTGGTCATTCTCTGTGTACGCCATTCAGCTCGTCTGCAGGAACCTCAGCATAATTCTACGAGAACACTGGCACATGGCTTTAGGTACAAACTCCTCATGAACACAAGTTACAGAGATAATGAGTCAATGGAATTGGAAACATCAGACCAAAGAAAGGCTCTTAGTTTTTAAAAACATTATAGCTTTAGATATTGTGGGACCACTGAGCATGTAAGTAAACATCTCAACACGGATTTGTCTCCTTTAGATTTGTCTCATCTGTTTCTGTAATCCATTTTTTTTACGTCAGGTTACGTCGGAGTGGTGGGATTCATCAGTTTTGCCGTGTGTTACCGTTACGGCCCCCTGGTGGATGAGAAGAACATCAACATCTTGTCGTGGACACTGCAGCTGTTCGGCCTACTCCTGATTTACTTAGGAATTCAAATACAGCAAGTTGCATTCGCTATCATGGTGGCAGCTTTGCTCTCCAAAAATCTGGAGTACCCAGTCTTTATGGCAGTTACTGCATGGAGGTGAGTGTTCTGAAAGCTGACAGGAGGGGGCGTGAAAGCTCTGTACTGCAACTGAAAATCACTCAGTGTGTGTGTGTGTGTCTATGGCCTTGCCGACTTTGTTAATGTAGGCACATGAGTTTTTTGACACAGTACAAGATACATGTTTAATATTTCCTGTACTTCATCAATAATACGTTCTTTGAAAAACCTTGCGTGATGTTTATTTTTATTGCAGCCACTTAGATTTAACGAAATTGACATTTCCTGAATGTGAATTCCGAATGAATGATTGTTGCAGGAAAATCAGACGGTTGACTGGTCGCTGGAAGCCGAAGCCACGTCGCCTGTTGACTGAGGAGGAGTATCAGAAGGAGGCGGAGGAAGAGACTCGACGAGCACTGGATGAGCTGAGGAAGATCTGTCACAGCCCAGAGTTCAGCCCCTGGAGAGCAGTGTCGAGGCTTCAGTCCCCAAAAAGGTGCCAACTTTATATTATTTTTTTATTCCTAAATAACTTATTAATGCACAACGTCTTTTAAAGCACGATTTAAGCCCATCCCCCACCTTGGTATGGAAGAATTAACTAATTAAAAAATTAAGACCCATGATTTATTCCTGGGGAAAACAGTAAAATCTCAATTCCTGGATATAATACTAAACATGTATTTGCTTAGTATGTGAGTTCTCTTAAATAATGATACATGCTTATTTATACATATATATATATATACATATATATATATACATACACACATATGTGTTACTGATAGATGACTTTGCTCCACAGGTTTGCTGATTTTATTGAGGGGTCACCTCACTTGATGTCGAATGAGGTGTCTGTCCACGCTCAGGAATACGGCTTTGGTGGATCATTTTTCGAGGATGAATTCTTTGACACTGACGACGACGAGGAAGAAGAAGAAGAAGAACTGAAGCCTCTGATGGTACCAGAGTGAGACGAGGAGCAAGTACTGTGTTGGATTTGTTTTTGAAAATTAAAACAATTACTGCATCGCTGCCTTTCAGAGAGGTGCTTGGACAAATGGCTCCCTGCAGCTTCTTTGCAAACGTCCATGTAAATGTGCTGTGGTGGATGGTTTTAAAACCCCGGATCATCACTTCAGTCACAGGTGACAACTTGACCGACACTCCCGGGCAGAACAGTCTGGTCATTATCAGCATGTGTCTGTCTCATAGTTTCAAAAACTGCACTAAAGCCATCTCTTCTTTTTAAGGGAACAAAGGCTCATGTCAAAATTGAGTTTACTGAAAAGCTGAAACTCTGATCGAGGCTCTTTGGAAGTCAAAGTGAATTTTTACTGGGTGCTGGTAGTTTTGAACTGTGCGTTCTTTTAGTCATAGTTTAGAAAAGGTTTTTAGTTTTCAAAGCTGCAGTAGGAGAGTCGAGATAACGTGCGTACATCACTGTGCTTAGTTCACTCGTCTCTGAACAGTGGTGGTTGTTGTTCCAGATGTTTTCTTCAGGGAGGAACCGCTTGTTCCTGTTTTGTGTTTCACATGTTCATTTTAATGGACTAATCAGCCGAGGTTTTCCAAAGTATTTTGAATTAAAAAAAGAAAAATTGCACACTGACATGCATGTACTTGTATCATTGTATCCGATTGCGTTACTTTAATTGTGTAACGCATGTGAAGCCAAAAACTCACTTTTCTAAAAAAGGATTTCATTGATGGTGCAAAGTAAAAGTAGTTTTGAGGTATTTTTTACTTGTAATTCCCATTTTACTAATACTTTACTAAAGTTAAAAGGCAAATGTAATTTTGTACTGGATAACTTTTATCTCAAAGTTATAGTTACTCAAAAAACGAACCAACAGTAACAGAAGTAATTAAAATGTGGCTTTTCTTTGGCCACCTGTTTCATGAAATTCATCTTCAATAATACATTATTAATATGTAAGTATAATTGGCCAATGAGTATGTTTACTTTTTATATTTTAAATTCACTTATTAAATCTTTTGTACTTCTGATTGCAGGGTGCAGGAAACCATTACTTTTATATTATTGTACATTGTTGGTACAAAAATGAAAAAACAGTTTATTCTTGCTGAGCAGCAACTTTTGGGGCATTTTTGTTTAATCTGTAAATTGTGTGAGAGAAAGACAATCATGAACCTTGTGGACTTTCCAACTGACCAACAGCCGATGACTGAATTATATCAAAGAAGATACTTCCACAAGTTGCTCGGGATTGTAACTACTATGCTTTAAGTTTAAGTACATGTTTGTGAAGTTAATCACTCGGTCATCATTATGAATCATGTTTTATTCTGCAGATAACTGGAATCCAAACTTTTACTTTGAAAAACCCTGACAATACAACTGAGCCTCTGTTAACGTGTTAAATTCTAAATTTAATTTCCAGAATGTTTCAGGAAGGTTCAGCATCTGCAGCAAATCAGTTTCTAACCTTTCTCATATGTGCACATTAACTATGACATGTCCTTTGGTAAATTTTCAAAAATCAAAACTAGAATGGCACTCGAGTGACGTCAAGACAGATTGATTGAAATTACGGGCGGGGGTATGTTTGTTTCCTGCTCAAGCGAGATAGTGTTAATCTTGCATCAGAAAAACATATTCATCCTTTCCCTCCCACTCACAAACTTTCAGTGAGCCATATTTGACGCCTTGGGGACAGTGACATTTAGCCCAACTGTCCCGTGAATCCCACCCCCCAGCATTAGCGGCGAACACCCCCCCCCCTTTAAAACTGATGCAAATGATTACACAACATCTTTGAAACAGCTGATACAGTGCGTAAGATATTTGCATGTGTTTCCCAGGCTGTTTGGAATACAAACATTTGCACGCGGCAGCATTTCCTGTGCGCTACTTCCTCAAAACATGCATAACTAACAGGGATACCTCACTACCAGTATGAATACTTAACACAAGAGTGTGTATGTGTGTGTGTGTGTGGGGGAATCCCTTGGATAAATGAGCCTATTGCACTGGCAGCCATCCCCTTATGGTAGCTTCATGTAAAGTGCTGGGAGTTCCCCACTGCTTACAAACAGGCCCACGACTGATCAATTGATGCTTGAAACCTCCGTAGCAATTTTCCTACTTCACCACGTGTAATAAAGATAAGGCAACAACGTGTGCACACCAGGTAGCTGTCATCGCCCATTTTTATAAGCAGGAAAAGACATCGAGCTCTTAAATCTAACAGTAACTTACATACTTATGTGTATCATAGCAAAATAAAGACTGCAGTGTTTATTGGAGGAATGCTGCGATTAAATCCTTCATCGTAAATCAAGAAAAAAACATAATATATTGAAAACCAGTTGTGATAAAAAAGCTACGTCTGTGGCAGAGTAACAAATAAACATTACCTTTGAAAACAGAGCAGTTCAATTGTTGCTTATATTTGAAGATCAGCAAAGAGTCTGACTTCAGACAAACCCACATAAGAAAGATCAGTAAAGAAAAAAAATTACTTTTCAGGCTGCAAGACGCAGCACACACTGCAGCTTTCATAAATTACTTCACACAGTCTGTACAGTGAAGACGAATCAAACTCTTCTCCTCGAACTCTCATCATAAAATAGTTCCGCTGAAACAAGAAAAAAAACTTTAGTCCAGTGGTTAAAATCCATTGTTCTGTCAGTATTTGTTGATTCCAAAAATCCGCACTCCATGAAACTGAGGCAACTTCGGGAGGAGGACACTTAAGAGGGAGCTTGTGTTGATCAGGAAATGTGTGGCGTCGTATTTTGTGTAGAAACTGGCAAGAATATACCTGCAGAGACAGAACAGTGTCAGATTCAACGTGTCTGCTGGAGCCTTCACACCAAAAACACACAATGGTCTCATGCAATCCACCGCTCAACACGTGAGACACCATCTCAGAGGTCGAGATGTAGTTTTCACCCGTCTGTTCAGTTTGTTTGAAAGCAAGATGACGCAAAAACATAAGAACAGATCGTCAGAGGAGTGTGTGCTCAGAGTGCCATTCGAGCTCTGCTGTGCTGTTGCTCTGCATGATAAACATTTAGCTTTGCATCTGAAGACATCCCTCTGAATGTACCCACTGCAGCTGTACTTTAAGAATTGAGGCTGAATGAGAATCTTTTCACCAAATCATGTTTCAGTTTAATTCTTCTGCTCCACAATGGAACTGACTGTTATTGGATCATGGGAGGATTATTCAAAACTTCCAACTGAGAATAATCTCCCCACTGAAAGTACAGCTGACACTGATAAGAGTCATTAGCTTTGTAAACATTTGGCCAAAAAAACAAAGTCCTAATGAAAGTGCTAGAGAAAAAATAGGGGATCACCAAATTCATTAAAATTAATTGTGTGAGAACGAGGAATATCTTTGCTAGATTTTATTGAGATCAATTGTTTAAAAATTCCACGGACGTTTCAAAACGTTTACTCTCAAAGTAAACACCCCCCCCCCCCTCCTACTCACAGGACGATTGGTGAGATGGTGAGGAATTTACGCGAAGATGTGAACTGGACACCGTAGTCCATCTGTTCCCAATGTGTGAGCAGACGAGCTTTGCCTTGGTCCGGTGTCTCGAAGGGAGTGCCCTTCACTGTGTGTAGGAACAGGTACATCACCTGCAGGAGGGAAATCACACAACAGAGAAACACCCACATCGTTAGCCACAGAGACAGACTTAAGATTTCCCACTGAATCATTAGAAGTCCAGAGGACCTGCTCCAGCCAGCTCCTACATGTCTCTTTTGTTTCCCCCGAGTCCACTTCAGTGAAATTTCCAGCTTCAGTCACCGTTCAAAATAACAAATACCTGTTACCGTGACTATCAGGGATGTTCATCACAAACCGTTTAACCTACAAAAAGGATTTTAACTGATTTAAAATACTGGTTACTCCCCGGACATTGATACTATCTGTTAACAGACTGACCCCAGAGGACATGTCGCTATTTCTGACTAAAATCCTGTAGAAAAGATGTCTGCTCTGATCATGGGGGTGGATTATTTTGTTTGCCCGGTGAACATGGATGTTTGGACGGGCCACTGAAATAAGTGTGTGTGTGTCTGTGTGTGAGAAAGAGAGCACAGCAGCACTGTGGGTGTGATGATGAGCGAATCCTCATTATGTACTGTTAATGCTGTTCGCACATTTAAAAATTAACCCACTTTTATAATGATGAAGACAAAACATTTACAACTTGTTGGTTAATGGTCCATGAGCGTCAATTATGGTTTAGAAGGTCAATTACATCCCTAGTGAATATATAATCGTCATTTTATTAGTCATTGATTGGAAGAAAACCCCCACACTCAAATTTAATGACATATAGATGTATTGTCCGACACAAAAATAAATGTTTCAGATATGTAATAAATCCTGTAGACTCACTACATCATTCATACAATCCTCTTGAAAGGAGAAATCACATTAAAACCTGCCAAACTTTCTCACCGCTCAGGTTACACTACCTGCGGCCATGTAATTAATATTCATTAATTAATATATTTTTAACTGACCAGGTTGTGGATGACGTTGGTGAGGGTCCAGACGAGGGGCACGGTGAAGAAAGGGATGCTGAGCAGGACGACATGCAGCACAACAGTCAGGAGCAGGTAGGTGAGCCAAATCCCCCGGCTGTTCATCACCCGCGTGTTGGGGTTCACTTCACTGTGAGCTACACCCACGTTCATCCTGAAGACAGAGAGAGACAAAGGGTGAGACGCTGGAAGCTCACAAACGAGATCGATCTTAAACCTGAGAAGAGAAAACCTGCTGACCTGAGCACATTTGGCAAATGTGCTACTAAAGGATTATTTTATATTCTAGAATAGTTTTCAATATTCATGTTGATCCACTAAGATCATCTCAAAATCCTCACATTTTGTTTCCTCAAGTCTTCGTTTAGGGTCGACAACGAGGGATATTCACCATCTTGTCCTATCTTTTTAAGTTAAGTTATCAACTACCAGTAGACGTGAGCAGGTGTTAGTGGATGTTAGGGACATAACTTCCGTTGTTCACCGTAGCATCAAGTGTGTTGGCCCGACCTTAAGGGAACGCTGAGGCTATGAGTAAATCTGACTGACTACTGGCTTGTATGGCGGTACTATGAAAGCCACGTGGCCCGCTCAGCAGATCATTACCTCTATGCCTTCTTAAACTAAACCCTGAATATCCCATTGGCTGCAGCGTTCTGCCCTGTGTGGTGTTTGTTTTATGCTCTGGAGCAGAGCTTGTCTGTGGATCCTCCCGGATCTTTGAACAACCTGTTGGTGGATGTTGCAAGGAAACCCTGCAGCCAACCTCCCCAGGGCAAACTATTGTTCTCCAGTCACGTCTGCATACCACGGCGTCTTCTTCTCATTCGCTTCATCAGCAGCCTCCTCCCGGGGTCCTGTGAATTCTACGACACGCAGGCTGATGGGACTGTGTCTGCTGTTCATCGGTGGCGATGGAACTCCACAGAGCATTGAACTGCAGCCAGGTTCCTCACTTGATTGGGTCCCCTGGGAACACTTCCGGTGTCCTTTTCGCAACTTGCAGCGCGTTTCTGTATTTGCATGTGTTGTGACTTTCTGCAGCGCGTTGAGCTCTCTCGGCCACCGTACCGACTAATTGATTGACCAGATGTTCTCTTGATGTGCTCTACATTGGGGAACCAAACGCTTTGTGTGGGAGGATCACAGCAGACTCGTGAGCTTCTATGTGACTTCAAGAAACAATCTCAGAGAAACAACAAAAACACAACAACAACAACAAACCCAGTGAGGTGCTGACTCCACCCGCCTGAGCGTCACTCTGCGATCAAACAAGCGCGCTCTCTCTCATCACCTCGCAGCAACATTAAACCAAAGTTCACCACAGAAGAAGAAGCAGAAACCCTCTTTCACCGTGTCATCGGTGTTGACACGATGCTCGGGCTCTAAAGCTCCACCTGACATGCTAACCTTAGCTCCTTGTGGCATTAGCCAGCTAGCTAGCTAGTTAGCCAGCAGCGGCTATCCACAGGTTGCTAACGTTAGCTCAAGTTAAACACGGAACCCCCTCCCTACCCCTCCCCCCCTCCGGCTGCAGACAACAACCTAACAGCGGCGGGGGTGAACTCCTCTGTCGGACACACTCGCTGCTGTGACTCGTGTGTCGGTTCAAGCTTCTTTTTTTTTTTTTTTTTAAACTTCACGTTTCCGCGAAGCAAAACTTTTACCTTCCTCCGTTGTCGTGGCTCAGCAGGAAGTTCCTTGTTTCTCCTGGAGCCCCGCCCTCCCTCTGCAGAGAACCGCCCTGCAGGCTGCAGCAGCTGCAGCGGCAGCACAGTCCTCCCGGACGTCCGCAGCTCCACGGGTATGTCTCTCATGCACAGAGCCGCTGGTCCTCCAAGAAATCCCCACAATACTCCATGGCATGTGAGCTGTGCTTCAAAATCACTGTTAATTCCCCACATACGTAGTTTCGAGTTTCACTTTTCGTGTGCAAGATCACACAAGATAACACAAGATAACACAAGATCACAATGAAAGGAAAACGTAGCCATGTGTTGTGGTTTAGATGTGAACCTGCCTGAGGGCCACAGGCGGAGATGAGCTGTTATTAATGATTTGATCATTAAGGAAAACAACTGTGAAACATACTGATAGTGAAAATTATGAACTTACAGCTCTTCTATGATGAAATGACCGTGCCCTGTATTTTGGTGTGTGTTGATTCCGTGACACAGAAAAAAAGTGATGCAGTTTGATAAAACTTTGCATCCAATGCAACAGCTGCACAGCTGTATGTAAAGAAGTGTAAACTAGCCTCACACTTACCTGCTTCCTCCCTTATTATTCTCAGTACTCATAACATGTATTTCTACCTCTTGACATTGCTGTTTCACAAGTACTTCTTCCTCCACCGCTTAGATACAATGATGGTTGGTTTAGAAGTAGATAAAACCAGTCTTGTCTACTGTGCGATTATTTCATTTGTTTTACAAGTTTTAAAAGTGGATTTAAAGCCTGATACAGGATATTCACCTGTGTCATAAATATCCATTTTTGTCTAAAACACGTAGGTTTTGCAGAAGCACATCCTTCTAGATCTTAGGCCTTTTTTTAAATAATTTGTTTTGAACCGGAAATTTGTGTCAGTAATGTGATTTAAAGCTATTTTGTGATTTCGATTATTTTCAGTGGGGTCAAAAGATAGGCTAGACTCGAAATGAAATAACACAGACTCGTCCCAGTGCCCTGCAGCAGCAGCAGCAGCAGCAGCAGCAGCAGCAGCAGCAGCAGCAGCAGCAGCAGCAGCAGCAGCAGCAGCAGCAGCACTGCGTTTAATCTGATTCAAGACCGATAATACACGGTTGAATGAACAATAAACTCAAGCATGGAAATTTACTCCCAACCTAAATCGAAGGTTGTGTAAATGACTAATGCTTGGGAATGAAAACCGAAACACTTTTACCGTCACTGTGAGAAGAAGTAAACTTCCCATTAGCATGTGTGGTGCGTGAAGAGATTAAATCTGGAAATTATAATAATAATAACTGTATTTGTAAAGCCCTTATCTAAACAAAGTTACGAAGTTCTTCACAGGAAAAATTATAAAATCCATGGCTAGAAGAAGAATGTATGTATGGCAGTGCTATGAAAGCCATGTCATTACCTCTGTGCCTTTT